TGGAAAGCAGTCAAATGGATTCTGCGCTACTTGAAAGGTACTTCAAATTTGACTTTGAATTTTGGGAGTTCTGATATTTGTTTGCAAGGGTTTGCAGATTCTGATTTAGCAAGGACATTGATAACAGAAAGAGCACTACAGAGTATGTTTTTACATTGGGCAGTGCAGCAGTCAATTGGGTCTCGAAGCTATAGAAAATAGTGACTATTTTAATAACAGAGGCGGAGTATGTTGCAACCACGGAGGCATGCAAGGAGATAGTATGGTTGAGGAGTTTCATGAAAGAGTTAGGTAAGGAGCAAGACAATTCTAAATTGTTCAGCGATAGTCAGAGTGCGATACATCTGGCAAAGAATGCAACCTTTCATTCGAGAACCAAGCATATCGACATAAAGTATCAATTTATTCGCTCTTTGTTGGACGATAGGCAGTTCACTTTGGAGAAGATTCACACAAGGAATAATCCGGCAGACATATTCACGAAAGTGTGTTACTGTGCAAAAGTTGAAGTCTTGTTCAACTTCTGTGGGTCTCTCAGCTTGAGGACAGGAGGATAAGCTGCAGGGGGATGAGAGACTATTTTTAGGAGGATTGCGGTTGATGTTGGTGTTTGAACTAGTCTCCAAGTGGACGAATTGTTAGGGCTTTTGTGGAGTTTAGTTTGTGTGTGGTTTTGACCCCGGATGATGACCCAACCCGAAATAATGTTGCGTGATTTTTAATGAGAAAGTTTTTGAGACTTGGTCCATAGAATGAAGGCTTAAGTAGAGGGAAAATTTTTTGGGCCTGTTTTGTAGCCCGGTGCGTAGAACATATAAAAACCACTAATTGGATGTTTAGGGTTTGATTGAACCTGTATAGCCGCCCTCTGTATTCTTCTCTCTCAATAGTGCAGTTTCGTGAACATAGGCAAATTGCCGAATCACGTAAAATCTGTATGTCTTGTTCTTTCTTGTTTCTTATTGCTTTATGTTCTTGGTTTGTTCTTCAATTGTGTGTGTTTGTCTATGGATTTTAAGCGTATTAAATCCCAACAGTCAATAGGTCACTAGTTTAACCGTTGGGTCACTGATTCAACCGGTCATAAATTAATAATAAAAAATAATTAGAAATAATAGTAAATATGCTAAAATATTATATAATAGTTATAAAAAAAACATGTTTTATTTTATCGTAGATGAAATAAAAAGACAAATATCTTCAATTCATTAATTGTTTACACATGTTTGTTATAATTTGATAGAATATAAAAAAATTCACTATTAAGTATTGAATATTTGATAAAACAATAACAATGTGATGACCCCAAAAAAATAAAAGAAAAATTGAAAGAAAAAGAAAAGTAACTCAAATGTACACTGAAAAGAAAATTGCTCATGACTGTTTAAATACACTAACATCTCATCCCACATCGAAGCAAACAAGTAGAGTTGAGTACTAAATGCCTTATAAATTCACGTCATTGAGCTCTGAGCAATAGCCGGTGACTTTGGCTTTAATAGCATGGTACACTGTCAGTAGTGGACCCACTAAAAGCTAAGTACTAATATTTATATTTAAATTCCGATAAAGAGATGGATCTTTTGGATTTGTGCAAACCAACGGGTTCATAAATATTGACCGGTTTGAACGGTTCTCTAATGGGCCAATTGTTCGACCGATCCAATCAAGAAACTGGCCCCGCTCAGGCACCGATTCTCTGAGTTGATCCGCCGAGCCGAGCCGAGTTGGGCCAGGCAGAGTTTTAAAACACAGATTTAAACTAACCTTGCTTATATGTGCTCAATATATATTTAAACCCAAGAATTTGTGTACCTCACACAAAAATTCCAACAAGCTAAGAAATTTTGCTACCTACGAAAATTTACGATTTAGCAAAGATCCCTTACCAATAGAAAGGGCTTCCTCTAACCCTGCTAGTTCAAGACCGATTCCAGACCGATTACCAATCTTTAATCAAAGAGAACTCAAAAGCAGTTGTAAAAGAAAAGGAAAAGAATCCTTGAGTGAAGGAGAGAAAGAAAGGAAATGGATTTTTGAGAGAGATTGGGATGCCATGGACAAAAGGGTGCCCCCGTGACCACCTCTTAAGATCAAGACAAAGTTCATAAATTTTTTTTTTCCTCGAGAAAAATCTAGAAAAGCATGAAGATAAAGGTGAAATTACACATTCTTATCCTATACATACACTAACCTCCCTTATGCCTCATGAAATAAAATTTTGAACCCTATAGGTTATAACATTGAATTACACTACCCAATTTTTTTAAAATACCATCACTGCACAACTGGGGTCTAAGAGCATTTCCAACAGAACATGTAAAACTCAAAAATAGCTAAAATTTAACTAACCAAAGATAAAAATCATGCTCCAACAGCATATATTTAGATGCTCTAAAATAGCTTTTTGCTACAGTGATACTTTAAATATAAAACATCACTGTAGAAACTTAATATAAATACTTTATAATTTTTTTCTCTTTTCTCATGTCCTTTCCCACCTCTCTTATCCACTCTCTATATTTCTCTCCATTCTCTCTCTCCCTCCAGTAGTCATAACAAAGGTACAAAATATGTGAAGTCATCTAGGCAGTGGAACCTCCGTTTTAATTATGTCATTACCTCTATTGGTTTTGAAATGATTGAGGAAGACCACTGCGTATATGTCAAACGATCAAAGGAAGGAATTTTAATTATATCACTGTATGTTGATGACATTCTTCAAGCTGGGAATAACATGGAGATAATTGTCGCCACTAAAGAGGGACTATCCTCTATTTTTTAGATGAAAGTTATGGATGAAACAAATTTTGTGATAGGAGTTGAGGTTATAAGGGATCATACAAAGAAACTTCTATATTTGTCTCAAGAGACTTATATAAAGAATGTCTATATGAACTACTCCAAACCCATTGACACTCCAATAGAAAGGGCCGTGTGCTTAGGCTTGCCTAGTTGCCCTAAAACATATGGAAAAAGGAGATAGATGTCCAAAGTATCATATGCAAGTGCAATTGGGAGTTTGATGTATGCTATGATGTGTACTCACCCTGATATGTGCTATGTTTTTTTGCTTAGAGCAGGATCTATTTCATAGCGCAGCAAGAAATAGTCATGCATTACCCTATCTACTATGGAGTCAAAGTATGTTGCCAGTTCATCAGCAGTACACGAGGTAGTTTGGCTAAGGAGATTATTACAGCATCAAGACATCACGCCACATGGGCATAATATTGGACTGATTCATTGTGATAGCATGTCTGCTCTAACACATGCAAAGGATCCCAAGCATCATGGCAGAACCAAACACATCGATATTCGTTTTCACTTCATTCGTGATATGATTGTGCAAGGGGAGGTGGTCTTAAAGCACATTTCTACTCATAAGATGTTAGCTGACCCTTTCACTAAACCTATTCCTAAAGATGCTTTCCTTTCCCATGTTAGGGATTTGGGTCGTCTTAGGATTTGATGTGCTTAGACACTAATTGACATTAATAATAATATTTCATTCCTTTTATTGTGTTTTTCTATTAAATGATTGACCGATGAGCATACACTTTTATCTTGATATGTCATCATGCTTACAATCGCTTACGATCATGAGCAATCTCCTTAGTGCTAATTAGAGTAGCAAGCGAAAGGTATAGATAACTTTTGATATTAAAAATGTCTCCTTAATGTGATTAGGTTTGGACACCTGCAAAGGTTAACATGAAGAGTTTTCACAGCTTCATTTAGCCTGAATAGAGCCAAATATGAGACCTCAGACAGCACTGAGAGAGTGACTAGGTTGTAGCATTCCAGTTAGAACATTGACAGCGACTAGACTTAGATTCGTACAACATATTTGATAATATGACACGCCCAATTCAGTGGGAGCTTTGTCGTAACATACATGTCATACTGTTTGTGCTTTTGTCAACCAAAATAAGAGAGTAACTTGATGCACTTTTGTGAGCTCTTTGGATCATAATATTGATGATGATCCTTCTTGTGCCTTTAGACACCTAGAACTCTGTCATGTAGATGATGCTTAATGTTGCTACTTTAGCATGTTTTCCAAGGACCATGGACGATACAATCTCACGGGACATGCTTGGGTTGAGTCTAGTTGTATTGGCATAAGGATCTAGGGAAGGCTACTTCGTATTACACTATTGTTTTGTGACTCATAGTTTGAGCAATTATGTCAGTCTAGAGTTTTGAAATTATTATGAGTACGTTACACAATTGAGCGCTTTGTGCACTAATCTGAACGAAGGCTGGTGAGGGATGAGAGGTGTCAAATCCAGTATAGCGAGCAAGTCTAGGGCATAGATGAGATACTTTTGAGTGATGTTCTATGGTGGTTAGATGATGACTTCATATAGCCCTCCTCATTTTCTTACTTTTTCTCATCTGGTAGCATGTTTGATCTCCTGCATGAGGAGATGAGTAATGGAAGAGATTTGGAAAATATATGTGTGTGTGTGTGTGTGTGAGAGAGAGAGAGAGAGAGAACCCATATGGAAGTGGGAGATGTTGGAAATTGGATCGGGTTAGGACTCGATCCATAATCCATGGGCCGTCCAAATGGATAATGAGTAGTTGGATTACAATTGAAGTCTATTTAATTTATCCAACTTGAAAGTTGGATTGGTTTGGGAGTTAACAGTTTTATGTGGATTAGACTTGATCTCTTGCCTATATGAAAAGGAATCATAAGCCTGGCAAAAAAACAATACCTTAGATACAACATATTCAAAAAATATTACTCTTTCTCTTGAGACAAGTCACTAGGATTTGGATAGTATGAGATTTGTTAATTCAACTTTGGTTTGAGATCAAGTACCCCGAATACTCATACGCATTTATATGATGCGCATCTTTTTTTCTTCATTTTTCATGCTCAATTCCAATAAATTAATGTTTACACACTTCGAGAGTGTCAAGACAACGGGAATCATTGAACAAAGTACCCAACGAATTATCAGTCTGTTATTTGGAACTATTCAAATCCAGGTTTTTGAAAATTGAATCAGATTAAAAAGTTGATTACAAAACTGCGAAAGATGTATGTAAATTTTTGCGAAAAATGCAAAATTGCGAAAGAAATGAACTGCTACCATAGTACAAGAAAAATGTATGTAAACCTTTGCTCGGTGTGGCTCTTCTCTTACATTGTTCTTCTTTTTCTTCTTATGCCTCTTCTCGAGTGTAGCTCTTCTCTTACATTGCTCTTCTTCTTCTTATGCCTCTTCTTGCAATTTCCCTATGCCTAAAAGCTTTCACCCATGTCTTCAAATCCGGTCCCTTCAACCCCAAACCAACACAAATAGCACAACAAAAGAATCCTGAAGTCCAATGATTTACTGCACCCTTTGAACCATTAAGTGAAACCCCAAATAAAATTAAACTCAGAACCCCCAGAAATACAGTACCGTCTATTTCTTTCCCCAATATCAACCACAATCCCAAACCACACAACAGGACAAATTCCATGAACTCTAATCTTTTCTTCTTTTTCCTGCCCCACCCATCAAAGCCTGACCACCCAAAACTCTTCCGAAACCCGAATCCCCCTCCATTTCCACCTCCAAATTCTCTTATCATCATATCCAACGGCTCTGGTAAGACGTTGAGCTTTGACGCGATGAAATGGACAGCGTTGAGCACGAGTTTTCTAGATCTTTGAGAATCAGATCCCCTTCTGTTGTTTCTTGAACAAATAATTGGTTTTTTCATATGGGTTTGAAGAAAATGCGAAGGCAATAGCGATAACGAAAGCAGAGAGTGTTGATTGAGTAGAGAGAGATTGGAGGGTTTGAAGAATAAAGCAGGCTTATTGACAGAAAAGCTGTTGGTCATAGGAAACTCCATCTAAAATTTGAATTGAATCAAAAAAATGACGTCTTAGAGGAGAGAACGGGATTTGATTTGAAGGGGCTTCTGCAATGTTTCTCTGCCCATTCTTGTTTCTCTTCGATAGATGAAGAGGATAATAAAGCGATTGTTGTGCAGGCCAGCTCTTAATTTTGAATTTCGGACCCCGCTCTCTTTCTAAAATTGCGACTCGGGCGGAATGGGATGATGGAGAGATCAATGTCGGGTTCAATTTAAATTATGACACCCGCAATCTCGGTTTAATTTGGCTTGAATTTAATCTCAATATTTTTTTTAACTCAAGTATTGTCCACCTTTAAAAATATTTCCGATTAAAGTTGAGTTATATTTTTTTTTTTTTTTTTTTTTTAGGGGAAGGAGAGGAGGAGAAGAGACTTGAACCCTTGCCGTTAAGAAATAAAGTCTTTAAAAAGTAAGAAGTATCATTGGACCAAAGTTAAAATTTGACTGATTTATAAAACTTGATTCTCAATGGCAGGACTCTAGGTGGCTCTACAACCTGTAACACCTCGCATTTTCTTTTATATATGTATATAGATATATAGTAAATAATTGTAGTAAAAAAAATGTGAATATATGTAGTGATGTGTGTTTGAATTTAGTAGATTGGAAAAGTAGAGATTTAAAATATTAGTAAAAATAATAGTTGAAATCTGGTTTTAATAAGTGAAAATATGAAATTTTAGATCCTAGAACTTGTATTAAATAGGTTTGGTGTAGAAATATGTGTTAGAGAGGTTTGAGATGAATTTGGTTGGCTTAGTAATGGATTGGAAATGAAAAAGGGACGAAGACAGGTTGTGAACAGTGCACTACTACAACTTCAAGCTCGATTTAGATCTTGATGCAGTCAATATCTCTCAAAACTCAAAACATGAAAGTTTTAGAGCTCTTTCGTATCATTCCATAGCATCTTGAATCATCTCAATCGGAGCTTGGATGAGAGAGTTATGCTCAGAAAACAAAACAATGTTGAAATAGTCCAATTAGTTTCGTTTTGCATTTAATGTCTCCATTTGCATCCTAAATCAAAATATAAGAATAATGAGTACTTTTAGGCTTCAAATAAGTATAAAAGGCTTTAAGAAACACCCCCTTTATCACCTTTTATTTACAAATATTACAAAACTTCATTAATAGCTGATTCGGATGGGTAAAATAAAAATTTTAGTGTTTCAGGTGTACGTTGATTTGGGTTTTGAGATAAATCATAAAATAAATATTTTTAGGTTAAAATAACATTAAAATGAATCCGGAACGTCGACAAACCTTAGGGTAGTCATATAGATCAAATTGAAGATTCTTAGTGGCAAAATCGTAAATTTGGAGAAACTCAAAACAGCCTATAAACAGTATTTTTTGGGCTGCTATGTTTTAAACTCATTTTCATCTCATTTGCTCTCATTTCCTTCACTCCCCTCACACCCCCACACCTCTTGAAACCCTAGAGAGCATTAGAGAAGAAAAAAGAAAGGGAAAAACAAGAGGTTCAAGGGTGATTTAAGATCAAATATTATTGTTCTTCACACCAAAGCTAAGGATTCAAGGTAGGGATTTTCTCTCATTCACTTACATTGAGGCTAGGGTATTTATATGTATGTTTTGGCTATCAATGGTATATACATGCTATGGAATCATCCTCTCTCAGACTTTTTGTAAGGATTACATGTTTTGAACAAAATAGGGTTTAATACCTATGAAATCTCATTTCTAGTTTTAAAACCCTAATTTTTGGAGAGTGATGTATTTTCTTCCTAAATGCTTTCTTTATTATGGATTTCAAAACCTTAGTGCATTGTCTTGGGTAAAAAAATGATGTTATTGTGATCTCATGTATTTTCTTAGTTGGTTGTGGAATTGTTATATGATATATTTTGGGGATTTTGGATAGATGCTTGTAAATTGAGATAAATGTTGAAATTGTATGTTTAGTTGGGTTGTTTGTGATGCACATGAGTGAGAGGTTCCTTGTAAAGATGCTCACCCATTTTCAAAAGGTTCCCGATAAGTATGCTTGAAAAATAATGTAGTGATTGGTGAGAGGTTCCATATAAGGATATTCATCCATTTTCAAGAGGTTTCTGATAAGGATGCTTGAGAATCAAAGGTAACCTAAAGGGGGGTGGAGGTTACCACAAAGTATGCCACCTACCGAAAGAATTATTGGGAATTGGTTATGACAATTAATGGTTACTATTCGTATGTGGTGCTCGGTTATTCATTTAAGTAATATTTTTAAATAAATTTGAGATCCTTTTTAAATGTCACTGATTTATTTCAAATAATGTATCTATGTTATGTTAAAATTGAGAGCGATCATTTTAAATGTTTTTCTAAACCTTGTATGGGTTTGAGATAATTTTTCTACAGAGTTCGGTGCTCACCCCCTATGGCTAACATTTTTCAGACTACCCCCTTGAGGAGGAAGATGTAAGGGTTGAGGAGCCCGCTACTTGGGAGACTCCACTGGACGGGAGTGTGGATCCCAAAGTGGACGCATAAAGCGACCTCCATTCCTTTTGTACTAGATTAGGACATTCTTTTGAAACATTGTGTAGTCTAGCTTCTTTTGTTTATTCCGCTGTGCTTCTTTAATTAATTTTTGAGATGTAATAGTCATAACTCGGATTTATCCTTTTGGATAATGTTGTAAATATTCATGGATGACAAATGAAGTATTATTTCTTAAAGGATTATATTAGTGCTCTCATGATATGAATGGTTTTAGAATGTAATATCGTCCAAGGTGTGTTTTGATTCATTACACAACCCCCAGACACGTGGAATAATAAAACCCTTATGATGTCCAAAAGGCGTCGAGGAGGTAAGCCAAGATATGGTGTCCCAGAGGAGCCGAGTACAACAGCTGGCACCCTATTCAATACGATGTGACCCCTCATTTATGGCGGAATGAGTGATGGTGACAAGGCTATTAAATGTGCGTCTGTAGGCACCTGAACTCTAAGCGTCTAGGCCTACTATCATGATGGCTAGGCATTAATAGCTACTACGCCGAGTAGATGAGGTCGGCTCTTCTCAAGGAACTGTTCCCCCGAGTATTCAATGCTCAGTTGCGGGCCAGACGCTGATCTAAGGGATGTAGATACTCAGGTAAGGGCATAAATGCTCGGCATGGAGCCGAGTGCTTGTCCCATCATCCTAGTAGTGAGTAGGATAAGACGTTGAGTGGAGAACACTCATTGCGCAATGAGTGGTATGCCAGACATTAAATGTCCAGATGGGATTGGAGGTCTTGGACAATCATTGCTAATTCAGTGTAAATATTCCTCAGAAAAATGAACAAAGGTACGCAAACTCGAACCAGAAAAAGATTATTCATTGAGATAAAACCCCTGATCTTAGACTGACTTACGCTTCGAACGGGATAAGCCGAGTGTTTACCTGACCCCCTTTTTTTCTAACCCTGTGACCATTGTAGGTTCATCAGGCTAAAGGTTGTTATCTCAAACTATTACAGGAATTATCCCGTGCAACTTGGCGCTGTCTGTGGGAATCTGAGCATCTTTCCCCGTAGCGATCGTCTAATGGTGAACACTCGATCTTAGGGTGAAGGAGCAAGTGTGCGTGTAAAGAACGCAAAGGCTATCCGGCTTCCAATGGTCCCAGAACCAAGTCCGTTGAGCCAGTTAGGGGGAGGAGAGAATTCCTCGCAACGAGCGCTCCCTATGGATCAAGGCCTTGGGAGGGCATGACCTTATGGCTTGTGATATCGTTGAGATGGAGAAGCAAATGGACAAACGCATTAAGCAACTAGAAAAGGAAAACACCAAGGTCCGGCAACGACTCGATGATTTTGAGCAATCAGCAAGCGCGAGTGGGCAAAGTCGCGAGCGCAAGGACCAGGCCCTCAGTCAAAACCAGGCATCCCTGGTAAAGGCCCTCCAAGAAAGACTGGCTTAGGCACTCACCCGAGGGGCGCAACCGTCAAAGTTGGTGCTCGGACCCCAAGAAAAAATTAGAATCAGGCAAAAAAGCAAGCCTATCTCGGTGGGACCTCCACCGAGGGATACCCGAGGGCATCGGAGTCGCCAAGTCACAAGTGGAGTCCATACCCAGGGGGCCTCAAGAAAAAAGACCCTGGGGGATCCCCGAGTGCACCTCACCACTTGTCGTAACCCTGAGCCCTAGGTTGATGCCGACGAAGTTATTTTACCATTCATTCGGGCTATCAAGGAGGCCGAAATGTCAAAAAAGTTTACCGTCCCAAGGTTCAAAATCTACGACGAAAGGACCGATCCCAAGAGTCATTTGCGGCAATACAAACAGTTGATGTACATCTATGATACTGATCAAAGGGTGTTGTGTCGAGTTTTTCCTATGAGCCTGGGGGACACAAGTATACTATGGTACGAGAACTTGGCCCCTGAAAGCGTCAGGTCCTAGAGACAATTGACAGAGCTCTTTAAAGCTCAATTCATCACCAGAAGCAAGAGATCAAAGGTCATCGGTGCTCTATTGAAGCTTAGGCGAAAGGAAGGGGAGTCCCTTCGGTAATACGACATCCGGTACTGGGAGGAGGTTAACGAGGTAAAGGCAATTTCGGAGGCACTAGCCGCGGCATCATTTAGGCTGGGGTGGTCCCGGGACACCGATTTATACAAGTCTCTGACCAAGAAGGCTCCAGCAGACATGAAAGACTTGATAGCCCAGATCAACAAATATGCCAGAGTGAAAGAAGAATCCGGTATGCTCGAGAACAGAGTCTTGGCATCGAGAAAAAAAGAGAAGGAACAACCAGTCCGGAGGGGAGGACTTGTTCCACCCCCAAATCGCCTGTCCTTCCAGGGGGTGAACACGGTCTTCAAGGAGCCCATTTACAAGATGTTTTCCAAGATAAAAAAAAATAGACCCTACTTCAAGTGGCCCCCAAGGATGATAGAAGATCTATTGACGAGGAATGCGATTTTCCATTGCTCATATCACAAGGATATAGGCCATTTGACAGAGGATTGTAAGGTGTACAAATCCTTCCTTGAATAGCTAGTACGAGACGGGCATCTCAGGGAATTCATTGATAAGGGGGATCCCGGAGGATCGGCGAGGG